GGAAACAGAACGGTTTTCTCACAAGCAACAAAAAGGTGGTAAAACACAAAGAGCTTTTCATGACATGTGATCACTTAGTGACGTCACATGATCTACAGATCTTCTGGAAGAAAGTTCCAGGACACTCCAGAGTCCCAGGCGATGACAAGCACTACAATGACCTTGCAGACTCCCTAGCCAAAGAAGGAGCCGTTGACGGACCCACATGGTCCTTTGACCCCTCCTGGCTACTCAACACTCAGTCGTCACAAGCTACAACTGAGGTAATGGCAGTCACACGTGCACAAGCTGCAGCTAAACCTGCTGATAACACAGTTTCTGTGCGCCCAATGCTGACTGACCCAGACATCATCCAACTTCAGAAGTTGGATCCTGCAATTAACTCGATGATGCTGTATCTGACTGACCCAGACAAATACACTCCATCGAAAGACGAGCTGGATTCTAATCCAGACCTTAAAGTCCTCTTTCAGCTGCGCAAACAGCTAAAACTACTTAAGGGCATCCTAACTTTCGCTCATGGACGGACGTCCTCACCTGTGTTCGTGGTCCCCCATGACCACAGGGGGGTGATGTTAGTCCATGCACATGACCTTCCGTCCGCAGGACATAAGGGTGACAATGCCACGCTGAAAGCATTAAAACAAATTGCTTATTGGCCTGGAATGAAAAAGGATGTCAAGGACTACATAAAAGGGTGCCTGATCTGTGGCCAGTTTCAACCATCCAGACCACTTCTCAGAGCACCACTGCATAGTAGAGGCATTGCATTTCCATGGTCGGACCTCCAGATTGACTGGGTCGGACCACTCACTAAGACCTCTAGAGGAAATAAATATTTTCTCACGGTAACCTGCGCGTTTACCAAATGGGTAGAATGTCTACCAGCCCCTAATGACACAGCACAAACCACTGCTATGTTATTAATGAATCATGTATTTTCAAGGTTTGGACTTCCCCTTAGGGTGAACTCAGACCAAGGTACACACTTCACAGGTGAAGTAATGAAGGAACTGTGGAAGACACTAGGCGTCAAAGCCAACTTCCATATTGGCTACCACCCATAGGCTTCAGGCCAGGTTGAGAGAGCAAACAGGACTGTGGTGAGTATTTTGAAAAAATACGTAGCCGCAAACCACAAGGACTGGGACGTGAAACTCCCTCTGGTCCTCATGGCCATAAGGGCCACTCCACACACGTCGACTGGCATCGCTCCTTTCGAGATGATGACGGGTCGACAAATGACTCTCCCTCTGCACCTGTTGTACCAACCAGGCGATGCTGCCATGGCAACAGCCTACACCACACAACAATACATGAAAGACTTGGAAAGACACCTTAAAAACACTTTTGCTTTCGCACAGAAAAACCTGGAAAAATCAGCTGAAGGACGCAAAGCGTACTACGACCAAAAGGCCTCTTACGAGGAACTCCAAGTGGGAGACAGGGTCTGGTACTACACGTTTGCACCCAAAACTGGGAGAGTAGAGTCCGGGACCGGAACTCTCGCACGTAAGCTGATGCCCAGATGGACTGGACCCCATCTGATAGTCGACAAAGTGTCTCCAATTATCTACCAGATAAAAATCAGTAAAGGCCAAAAAGAGCCAACTGTTAAATGGGTACATCGTAACCAGATTAAACAACACAAGGCGTGCAATAACTCCTTAGGAGACAAAGATCTCACCAAATCTGACCTCGTGGGAACAAGGGTCATCCAAGCAGAAGATAACTAATGGATAATAAACTTAACCATAGTTTAAACTCACAGGACCTACCCTTGATAAAACGGGACAGCGTGACTGAAATCTGGCAACCAGGGTGAGGAGAGGCAGTGAAACGATGTTTCTAGATGCTTAGTCACTACTCTTGTCAGTGTTGAAACGTTGTTTAGTTGATTTTGGTATTGTTTCTGAGGAAAGAATGAATTTTGTTGTGTAGTAAGTTAGAGACTAAGAAGCCTTTAACCATGCCAACATGCAGTTCATTCATTAAATTGCAATCTTTGCGGAGTCAATGTATATTATTGCTACCTTGAGTACCATAATCTACATTGATCTCACAACGCTTAAGCCGAACCTACTCGAACAATTCTATTCGGGGGGATAGCTAATTCTTTTTGATAAGTCTCGCCATAGACTTCCAAAACATTTATGGGAAAACCAAACACCCAATCTCAAGTCGTTCGTCTAAAAGACAACAGACAATTGCACCAAACTATATTTTACCATGTAAAGCTAACTTAAACCAAGTTAGAAATGGAAAAATAGTTTGGAACACTTTTCTATAGGCATAAACCCCTGTAGTTACCCCTTTTCAGCATTCTCCACCCCTTAACTGGTAGTTGTAGCTGTTCCCAACCATAATAGCTTACACACCAGATGCATATAGTTTAAGGCCTTATGTAAAATCCCCTTCATAAGCCCACCTTAAACCACATAATTGCATGACACATTGAACCAGAACGGCACAGGCTGGACGTCGCTGGAGACAACCTTCGCTGGAGGCGACCTGCAATCCTGACGTTGGTCTCCACTCTTCATCCAGTGGCCGCTTCTTCAGTTCAACCCAAGGGTACCCCTCTGTATGCTGATTAATCAACACTTCCAATCGTTGTGGATTTACCGTTGTGGATTATATGACTTTTTCAATGGATTACAGACTCTGTTTCCAAGGGGTTAAAGCATTGCTACAATGGAATTATCGAGACGATATGGGATCATAATCAACACAATGGAATACCAAGAACATTGTGGAATTACCTTGACTTTGTTTCCTTACTGGATTACTTCTGACTTTGGTCTTCCTTGCTGGATTACTTCTGACTTTGGTCTTCCTTGCTGGATTACATCAAGCTCAAGGACATTTGAAGGTCTAAGTTCACGGTTGGAATTCATCCCCATGGACAGGTGATGATTTCCAAAGGGGGGACTGTAGTGAACCTGATCTGACCCTGATCTGACCCTGATGACCTCAAATCTATCAGATGGACAGGGACTGTTATTTCATTGATCTGAATACAGTCTGAGCCATCTGGTGACTTTCTTTCTTGAATTAATCAAGCAGAAAAGACAATTCTCTATAATCATTTACTGTTTTACAAATGTTTGATAATCAAATTGTGTTAGTTCCATTCAATGCTTACAGGTTGGAAAGAACTACTCATTTTTATTTTACATAAACAGTAAGTAATGATTTTTATTCCTCATTTAAAGAAGAAATCAGGTTAATATGCATTTCTTGATTTTCTGTCTGAAATGAGCCAAGTAATGTAAGTATGTTAAAGGTCGGTTTTCGGTCAACTAAAATGTTTACTGAGAAGAAATGTCATGTTTTACTATTTGAGAAGATACAACAGCGTGAGACTCCACGAAGTCTGGTCGTCTGCAATAATCTTTTCTGTATGTTGAAAACAATCCTTGACTTATGATAACATCTTACATCACAAACCACACCTCTATTTCTGGTCCATCGACCAATCAAAAGCTCTCAAATGAACCGGAAGTCGACCCATTTAAAATGTGGCAACTTCCCAGTTCATGTTAGAATTCAGGAGAATTCAGGAGAATTCGAGAGAGTCTGGAGTCTGATAGTTCCAGAGGCTGAGGAGATGAAGAACTAGAGAGTTGCTGGAGTTGAAAGATTCTGTTAGAGTCTGAGAAGTTCTGAAGAATGAAAGGAGTTCATGGTTCTTGGGTGCAAACGCATTCAGGATGATCCAGAGACGTTTTGGGATTATAATTTCTGTTTGAAAACCACGTACGACTCCCCGAGGGTTTGGTAGTTCTCACGGAGACGCTGAAAAGAGTCAGAAAGGAACCTACACCGACGCTGAGTTCATCATCAAGGTAGATGGTTCTATTTTCGACCAAGTGTACCGTGGGCAAGCTGATATCTGATGGAGCGTGCAATTTCTGGTCAAACAGATTAATTCCCTCACATATTTCTCTGTAAGATAAATCTCCATTTCATCTTAAAACTCTCCTCTTTCTCATAAAATCAGTACAGATATTTTAGAAATATCTGAAGCAAAGTCCTCGACCACCGCCGAGTGATCGATGCTCATTTCCTGTGAAACTTGTCTGTTATTATTTTCATATTTTGCCAAATTAATGTAAATGTTTGATGTTAAACTTTGATTCTGAAAATAAATGACCGCATTGATTTGATGGGTCAAAGATAAATAACGTCTCTCGTTACATTTCTGTTAAATTCAATGCACGACATTACACAGTCAGAAAGATGAGGAACTCGTGATAAAAAGTATGCATATATATCTCATATATTGTCATACTACAGAATTGAAAGATGTAGATGTCAAAAAGGGGGCTGAAAGTGATGTAACACTATATAAATATATAATATATGTTTTTTAAAACAGCGCCTTTTATATCGGTGAGTTATTTTGATGGAATGGCCGATGTCCGATATTTAACTTTATCACTATTATTGGTCGATACCGATACCATGTCGATAATATCGTGAATCCCTAGTTACAATTGAACAATGTTGAGAGTTATTGTGAATGAGATTAATAAAGTTTGACTTATCTGACTGTTTTGTTTCGCTTAATGCACCTTATATAAGAAAACAGACCTGTTAATTGATATTGCGCCTTATAGTCCGAAAAATACGGTACACAGGACAACCTACTTGCTTAAATCACTAAAGCAGCTTGAGTGGTTTTAACAACCACCTTTAGCCATAGAAAGAGCTGACGGTCAAAAACAGATTTCAGTGCGTCTTTGCAGCTGAGTAAATATTACAAATGTGAATAAAATCCAAAATGATTCTGTTTTTTGTTTTTTTTCTTAACCCATACAGCAAAGCTAAAACAACATCTAAGCCTGCAGGATGAAATGCAACAGAAATGAGCAAACAAAAGTAACTGGACAAGATGACAAAAAAAAAAGGAGAGCATCTGCTCTCCTCTCTCTGATGGACGGATGAAGAGATGCGAGCCGACACAAACAAGTGAAGTTTGAATCCGCGTTACTCACCTGGCATGCCTGTCAGGGTTATCAAATAGAAAGATGGGAGCAGAACAGAAAAGAAGGGAGCGTGTTAAGTCAAGCTGGGAGGGTCAAGACGCGTGAGAGAGCCGAGTGTTAGACACGATCAGAGCGACCGTTCCTGTTTGTGGCGGTGCTTTGGCGAGTGCAAACAAACCAGAGCTTCAGGAATGTCTCCAGGTGGCAGCGTGCATGTGGGTGAGAGCGGGAATAATGCCGTGTTGAAATTTAATGAGCCCAAAGGGAAAAGTGTTTCACCCGCCACTGATTTTTAAGCGTTAAATCGATCAAATGAACGCAAATGCACAAAAAGCTAGCTTTGCAAAGAAAAATCAATAAGCAACCTTTTTTTTTTTTTTTTTTAAGTGGCTATGAATAAAAACTCATCTGAAGTGCAAAATAAAAGTGGCAGAGTTCAGGGAGCAGAATTAGTTCAATTTATATCAAACTAATGTGCAAAATAAACAATGACTGGGCAATGTAAGGAAATCAAACGCCATGTTGAACTCACCTATCATCTGAGCTATGGTCTTCTCATATTCAGCAACAATTCTCCTACAGGTGAGAAATAAAATATTCAGCATATCTTTATATTTAAGCATATTACTCATGCATTGTAAAAAAGTTTCTCCAGCAGCAAACACACATATTACGATTTCTATTAGGAAAGCATAATATTAAGGGGAAATTTATTCTAATGCATTTTAAAGTAACGAGAAACGTGCAATGTGGCTCTTTAGTTCTACAGCAAATGTGTTCAACGTTTAAAACATTTCTTTTAGCAGTGATTATGAACTGCAAAGTGGTTTTTACTGTGATTTAATTTGTGATATTTGTCGGAACGTCGGTCTCTGGACTCCAGACTGTAAGAGAGATGGAGGCCAGTGTGGCTTTGCTCGGTTAAAACAGGTTGCACAAGAAAAGAGGATTGATTAGCTTTGACTCCCTCTTAGTCTCTTAGCCCCTCCTTATCCAATCAGTTAAAGAAGGTAAGCTCCGTCTTATCCATGCTAAACGAACCAGCTGCACTCACACACACCACCAGCTGACAGATAATCAGTTTCAGTGCTGCTTAGTTTTGCCTGCTTGAGCTGCAGACTGAAGCCGTTTGTTGCACATCGTCTGTTGATGAACTTTGGATTTTTTGAAATTCAATTCAGTTCAATTCGGTTTCTTTATATAGCGCCAAGTCACAACAGAAGTCATCTCATAACAAGCCAACCCTAACTAAAGGATTCATCAAAAAGGAAAGTCTTAAAACTGGACAATGTGTCAGCCTCGCGGACAGAAACTGGAATTTGGTTCCACAAGAGAGGAGCCTGAGAACTGAAAGATCTTCCTCCCGTTCTGCTTTTGGAAACTCTAGGAACCGCAAGTAAACCTGCAGTCTGAGAGCGAAGTGCTCTGATGGGAAAATATGGAAAAATAAGATCTCTAATATAAGATGGAGCTAGGTTGTTGGGGGCTTTGTAGGTTAGAAGTAAGCTTTTGAAGTCAGTTCTGAATTTGACATGAATTTTCAACAGTTTTAAACCAACTAGAAACAGATTTTAAGAATATTTGAAAGTACCTACCACTTTACGTTTAGCTGTTGGCAGTCCAAGATGTGTTGCAGATCTCTATTAACGACTACTACTACACCAAATTGTAGCTTAATGTCCCTAAAAATGACTGATTTTTAATAAATTTTGAGTTAGCTGTGGTGGCCATTTTGAACTTTGAACATGGCAAGTATCACACAGTTAAAACTAGGAATATAGCTGGAGGTTACAGTCAGTGACTACCACACCAAATTTAACCTCAGTACCTGTAAAAATGTCTGGGTTAAATGTATTTTTAGTTTTGGCCACTTTTCTAAATAATGCCAGCTCAAAAAAACTAATCAGTCACAGAGGGAACCACTTTGTGAGAGTTTTATTGATTTCATCCAAGTGGTTCATGAAATATTTCAAAGAGCGTACGTTTTTAAACGATTTCTCTTTGCAACCTTATGAGTTCATCTGGACTTATCTTCAAGAAACGACATCGCCGTAGTGTCTCAAAACACCAACAAATGTAAAAGCATACATGTCGCAGTTAAGCTGCTTGATCTGATGCATATTTTGCATGGATGCACCCTGCTGTTCAAGCTGTGGTGCACTGCACTGTGCCCTTTGCTTTTCAATGGCAGTTCCCAATAACACATTTTGTCATTAGGCCTTTAACTACAAAAAGTACAGTTAAATCTGTCCCACGTGCTCAGACTCATTTGGACATCGCTGATTTGCTCTCAGTTTGCAGTCTTTGGCAGTTTAAGTGAGATAACCCAACTGGAATGTTAAAAGGTGATAATTTGTGGAGTCAGACAAAGCTAAGCATCCTGGTACACTTTCAATTAGCAGAAACACTGCTATGTGCTACATCCACACTGTGGTGTCTGGTATGGGACCTGGCTGTAATGAAAGTGATATCAGCCCAAGGTGTCTCTTCTAACCTCATCTCCACCACCTCCTGTCGACTTTCTTCATACTTCCTCTGCCACTCCAGCACTTCTTTCTCTTTTGTCACGATCTATGAAGGGTAGCAAAGTTGTTAAACATAGATGAAGATGTCCACAAAAAAAAAAAAAAAAAAAAAAAAACACAACATTTGTGACTCAGAAATAAAAAGAAAAACCTCTTCTCGTGCAATGTCCAAGGACTGGTCCAGATCTTGAGGCAGGTGAGGGCTCTCCCCTTCGATGTAGCTGCTGATGGCAGCGGTCCTGGCGTACAGTGAGCTCTTGGGCACAATGTTTTCCACTGAAGATGACACGTCTCTGTGCTGCTTCCATCAGCCGAGTGAAAGCACAGAGAGGAACGGAAACATGACCAGTTACAAATCAGACGGAGTTAAAAATGTAGCATCCCTCATCCTTGGGCTCATGCGCACATTCTCAACAGGATTTCCTACGCCATGTCTCAAGGCAGCATGGGACTGTATAAAACTGTACCACACAGCAAAACCAGCGCATAAATGAGGCAAGCTGGCGATGTTTCTGAAGACTTGGTCAGCCACCACATGATTGGATGAAACAGTCTTCATTGCCGCAGTATAAGCCATGTAATTGGCTGATGCTGGCCCCGGCTGAGCGACCATGATCACCTGCTGCTTGCACTAGCTCGAGTGTGAGTTGCTCCGAGCAAGACAAAAGAAGAAGGGCAGCAGATAATAAACAGGGTATGGAAGATCAGACAGCAACGGCGCTGTTATTAGTTATGTCTTATGGGATGTTGTACAGTTTTTGAGCTTTATAATTTAGGAGAATCACATCAAGTCCTTGTGTAATCATAAAACCTGTGATATGAGGAGAACATATTCAGATACTTATGCATTCATTTGTGAGGCAGCGTGATTTCTGATGGCTCCACTGCACGAGGGAAACGCGCTAATAAAATGCTAAAACCAATCTACGCTCTAGAACGGTTTTGTCCCCTAAAAAGTTGCTCAGAGAAGAATTTAGTCATCCTTAAAAGGGCTGGATTACAGGAGGATTTAATGAAAATTTGGAGGATTAAAAAGATTAAGGAGACAGATCTATTAATAAAACGTAAAAAAAGGACTCAAATGTTTTGTCTGGCTCAAGCATTACTATGAAACTTGTTCTATTTTAGAGAGATTGCAAAAAGCTTGTTACTCTAATTCTTGCAGAGAAAATCAATCTCAGTTTCTGGATTAACAATCCCAGAACAGATAGACTGTAAACGCTAAATGAAACTACTACAAAATGCACAAAACAAGAAAGGACTTGTTGAAAAGTTGCATCATTGAACCCAGTAAAATATGAACAAGAAGAACTTGCTTTTCTTTGTTTTGTAAGGAAGGACATTTAAACAAGTTTTTTTTTTTTAATCTCTGAAATGCAGAGAAGATGACCAAATTTGAATGTAAGTTAATGATTGTTTTTGTTTACCTCACTAATTGAGTTTGATGTAATTTTAAAGGGGTGTTAGAATTGAAGAGCAGAGTTTAACATAACCTAGTAAAAAAAAAAAAAGTACAAAGAGAAGTACTAAATCTATAAGTAAAAACGGACAAAATCACAAAACAGCTAAATATTACTCTGTGGATGTGGCACTTCTGGGGTCAGCTGTACCTGCAATCTGCAGTGCAGTCTGTATTTGGACCATGACTTTACATTTCATTGTTAATGTCCTGATTTTTAACTTTAACTGGACATTATTTACATCCCAACTGGGTAAATATTTAGGAATAAACACACTATCACTTGTTGTACAAAACGGGGGCCTAATATGTTTGAAGGAACTGTGTTTTTTATTTTATTTTTTTAGCTTTTATCACATTGAATGTGACTTTTACCCATTTTTTAAATTGAAAGTGAGTAACTCAACTTTTTAATCCATCAAATCTAACAGTGAAACTGGGCGGGTGTGTTCATGGCCAAACACGTGGACTGCACCATAGACGGAACTGTGCTACAGGTAGAAACAAACAGATCACAGGGGGATGATGTCATTCTTACTTTGAGTAAAGGCGAACCATTGATATTCCACCGCCGTGTGATAGGTTTCTTTAGTCGAGACTGTAAAATGTGCAGGACAGCAGCAGCATGACACATGGACGCATCGAGGATCAGAAGGCGCTCGCTCTAATTGTGTGAATGTTTATGAAGCATTCACACGATTGTGGTCCATTTTTCTTCCCTACATTGTTCAGCATCTTTCTCGTTCCACAATTTTTCAGCTATTTCAACAAATCATAAATCAAAACGTTCAGCTCTTTCAGGACAATCCTGCTATGACTCTTGGTACTGGTGAAACTTTAGCTTTTTGAAATATTTAGCCTTTTCTGCCACTTTTTCCTCATAGAAAATGAATTGAGCTCATTTTACATCCTTCAAATTTTTATATGTGTTTACAACCTTTTACTGCTCCTTTCACATTTTGTTCTGGTTCAGCTTCTTTCAGCTTCCTTGTGCAAATTTAAACTTTTTTCAGCTACTTTCAGCAACTTTCAGCTGTTTTGTGCTCCTTAAAATTTATTTCAGCTAACTACAACATTTTTGTGCTTCTTCTAACTTATTTCTAATAATTTCAGCTTGTTATGCTCCTTTCAGCTTATTTAAGTTTCAGCTTTTTTGCTATTTCAGCTACTATTTAACTGTTTTATAGTAATTTTTCCACTTTTTTTGGACTAATTTCATTTTTTTCAGCCTAATTCAGCGCAAACGTGCTCTCCCACTTCCTTCTGGTAATTTAAGCTTCTTTCTGCTTTTTAAGCTACTTTTCAGCTGTTGTTAAGTTCAGCTTTTTCTAGATAATTTCCACATTTTGTGCTCATTTCTGCTTCTTTCAGCCTCATTTGACAAATGTGTTCTTTCTGAAGTCTTCTGCTAATTTAAGCTTATTCTACCTGGTCAGCTTCCTTTGTAGCATTTTTTTATCTAATTTGGGCTGTTTTCATATTAATTAAAGTGTTTGTGGTAATTCCTACAACTTTCAGTCTAATTAAATTATTTCTGATAATTTCAGCTTGTTACACTCCTTTCAGCCAAATTATGCTAGTTTCAGCTTTTTCAGCTAATATTTAGCAGTTTTATGTTAATTTTAGCTTTTGCAGCTAATTCCACATTTTTTTAGCTCTTTTCAGCTCTTTCCACTTCATTGTGGTAGTTTAAGCTTCTTTCTGCCTTTCAGCTACATTTTAGCCATTTTTTTGTTGCTAATTTCAGCTTTTTAAAACTAATTTTTGTGCACATTTCTGCTTATTTAAACATACTTAAGCAAATAAGTACTTTTTCTACTTTCTTATGCTAATTTAGGCTTGTTCTTCCATTTCAGTTACATTTCAGCATGGTTTTAGCTACTTTCAGCTGTTATGTTTTTATGTTAGTGCTGTTAGTTTAGAAAAAAATCAAAAAACTAAAATGTGACTGGGGATTTTGTGGCAATAACAGAAAAAGCGCACATCAATGAAAGTTTTACTCCTCATCTACTAATTTTAGCTCTATTGTGTGACATCCCCAGTCACATTTATAGCCACGGGATACATGCACAACAGAAGAAAGGTACTCAGAAGGCACAAAACTATCAGGTTCTGAATCAACCCGGAGCTTGTTTCTTGTCCGGGAGCGAGCTGATTGCATTAAGCCGTGTTAGAAATATCATGTTTGGGAAGACAGAGTACCGGGATTGTGGGTATTGTGATACAGCCAACGTGTGGAAAAGGCCATGGGTTCGCAGCTGCTGAAGTGCTGAAGGGACTGAGCCGCAAGCCGAGCCACACTCGTGCACACACTTCGGTCTGCAGCCGCACACGCATCCATCACTCCTCCCTAATGACTCATTCAAGAAGCCTGTTTTCTCTTGCGAACACACCCACTCTGACACACACGTGATTCAGCAGGTGCAGGCTGACTCTGCGCAGTACCTGGGGAGTTACAGTGGAGAGGGAGGAGCACTGAGAGATGCTTTTGGCTACTTGCAGAGCCTCTAGCCTCAGGGCAGCAAGCACCAACTCCTCCTTGGCCACACACGAGGCCAAATATCATAAGAGAGGAGGGTCGAGGCCCAAAGTTGAGAGAGAACAAAGGAAAACATACAGAAACTTGAGTGGAGAGCACACACTGCTGACTACAGTTTACCCACCGTTAAGCTACTTCACACAGCAAGCCAAAAACTACAACACAGGAAACATGGGCAAACAAAAATATAAAGGCAGGATGGGAAAGGGTGATACAAACGGAAATGATGTGCACACAGAAACACAGTCACTGAATGTCGACCACAAATAGACCCCCAGAGCAAAAACCTTGGAGGGTTTTATCACGGTGGGGCATGTGTGGTCTGAAAACACACCTGTAGTTTTTGGGCGAATACAGTTGGGTTGGTCTCAGCCAGGTTGGGCTCCAGGTACTGCAGGGGGTCATCACACTCAGACAGCCTGTCTAACAAGGCCTGGGCTGGAGCAGGGGCCTCCACGGGGCCCTGGCTAGAGGACTACAAGGGCACCGAGAGGAGTGGGGAGGGGAGGGCAGAGGACAGCATGGCAAAGCAAGCGCTGAGTGTTTTGAGTGGCAGCACTGGGAGCTGATTCACTAAACTCAAACGTTTTGGCTGTTTGGCTTGACAAGGTTTCACTGAGAGCGACAGGCTGAGTCTTGGCCTACGATAAACATTTGCATCGTGGCTAAACAACAGCATGGAGTTCGATGTTAAAGAAAAAGTGGCAGATTTACAACACATGGCGGTGAGTGGACACATAAATGAGACCTAGTTTTTATACATTTGTCTCACCTGTTCCTCCCTCTCTATGCTCTGTGTTCGGCTGAGCACCTCGCTCTCCCTCTTCCTGCCCTTGTCTCCAGCAGAACCCTCGGGCCCGGGCCGCACGCTCAACACCGGCGTCTTCATACCCGCTGATATCTGAGCCTCCATCTCCTCGAAGCTCCTGCACAGCGTGAGAGTAACAGCATGAATGCAGCGTAAACATTAAATGTCGAGCACATGCATGTAATGTTTCATTTTATGCTGCAAAATAATGGAGTTGTAGCCGATTAGATCAAAACCTGAAAATAAGGATTACGCATAATCTCATGCTCAGAGTACGTGTTATAAAGCAGGGGTTCCCAAACTTTTCCATGCCATGGCCCCCCCAAACAGCATTAGCTTCTGGCCGAGGCCCCCCTTCACAAACCCACAACAATGCTACAAAATATGTAAAGAAACATCAACTTTTAGAATGTTTTCACTTTTATTCGCTATATTCAATTAATTATTACAGGCGCTGAGCATAAAAATGTTTTTAACTAACATGTTTAAAACACTGTATTATATTCCCACTGGAAAAAAAAAAAACTTTTCAACAAACTGTTGACCAGAAGAACAAAACAAAACAAATCTAACCTCTCTCATGAGTGTTTATCTGGAAATGACAGATACAGATTGCCCTAGTGGGCAATTTTTATTATTATTACAATATATTTTTTTTTTTTTTGTTGCTTTTTTAAAATCTTCTCTCCAGCTTTCTGGCGCCCCCTGGCGGCCACCACTTTGAAAAGCACTGTTATAAAGGACTCTCAGCTACTACCACATCATCATTTCACCTCAATAGTCTTTGGATAAGTCCACTTAGCTGTGACAGCTGTCGATATATATCTGATGATTATTACCTGAAGGTTTCATTAAAATCTATTGAGTGGTTCCTGAGATATTTTGCTAACAGACATTTAACGACAAATAGTTAATGGCGCTTTTAAAAATATAGATCTTGGTAATTGTTTTAAAGCTAGAAAGAGATTATTGCCATTTAATTTACAAAAGTTATTTTTCTCAAGTTCGTGTGATAGAAATAACAGAAGGAAGTATGATTTCAAAAGTAAAACTGTGCGTACTACTTTAAAACAAATGTGCATTTCGGTGCATGGAGTAAAACTATGGAACAGTTTGGATGAGGAGTTAAAAAAAATGCTCTACAGTAAACCAATTCAAAACACTTTTTAAAAAAAAGAATGATTAACTCACTTTTGAGTTGTTAATGAGAAGAGTGATATATTGTTCTGCATGTTATTGTTGTTGTTATATTGTTTGCAACTTGTTTTGTTAATTTAATGTACGCGGCCATGACATTTTTGTAATTATTGAGAAAGGGGGCGGGTCTATACAAGATTTTCTTCTTCCTGCTCCCCCTTCACTCGTGTAAATAAGCGTTGTCAGAGAAAGTGTTTGTAAACTGATGATAATTTTTTTTTTTTTATCACGTGAATCAATTGATTGATTGATTTAGTACTTAAACTATGGGCTGTGTATCTGTCTTAGCATCTACCACACCAAATTTTACTCATAACCTGTAACTTATAGCCATTTTGAAGCATAATGACACCCACAGAATGAAAATATGCAAATACCAGAAAGTTAATATAAAAATCTAAACCGTGTGCATGAAATTCATTATTATCGTCATCTGCAAAGCAACAACGCCAATACACAAATCTATGAGCGTATAAAAGAATGGTGGGTATATTACCCTGTGCAGGGGGAGCTGGGCTCAGATCCATGTGTGCCCGTACTTTTTGTCAAACTGTCAGAGACCGAGTCCAAATTCAAGTACAAAGATGGCTTCTTTGCAGACAGTGGCTGTAAAAAACAACAACACAGGAGCATAAATCAAAACAGAAGGTAAAACACAAACTCAACTAAAATCTACAAACGTTAACCAACACTCACAGGGGATGAAGAGCCAATCTTCTCCATGTACTCGATTTCATAGTCTTGCACTAAGACAGAGAAGCAGCATTAGACGCAGAATATAAGACGCACGTCAAGAAGTTCTGAGCTCTGTTCCGGTGGGATCAGAGGCCGTGTGTGTGTGTGCGCTTTGTTTCATCTTTGACCCAGACGGGTCGAGCCAGACAGCCTCTGGTAGGACGCAGAGCGCTGGAGAACTAGGCCAACAGGCTTACTGCCATAAGAAAAATCAATAGCGCTGCTCTGTGAATAGACATTAAAGACACGATGGTAAAGTGGTTGTACATGAGCGTTTATCCAAATCCAAACACGGGCTTTGAATTTTCTTAATGCGCTGCCTGACTGTGGTGTGCTTTGATGTGGTGTGAACACAGGTGGCTGAACGAACAAAGAGTCAGACAGTGAGGCCTCACCTGGGGCCTCCTGAGGGAGGTTGCTCTCGTGGACGAAAGACGTGAGGTCGGAAGGTTGAGGGAAGTCTTGCTGGTCGGCGTTCAAATCTGACTCCGTGTCGTGCCTGGCTGTCCACTTATGGTTGGTGGAGGAGGCCAACTTCTCCTCATCCGTGGCGTGATCATCCTGTGTGCTGACAGGGTCGTCTGGATCCTGCAGCAAATACAAACAGAAGCAGAAGGAGTGGGAGTTCTGCTCTGACAGCCAGACTCCAATCAGCTGCACCCGTGGATCATCGTCTTGAGCATGAGGAGCATAAAGGGCGGCAGAAGACATTCAGCCAGCGCTGGAGCATTACCTGACAACGGTAGTCTTATTCTAGCCTTTGACTCATGTCTAAAAACAAAGATTTATATTTTATATACTCTATAAATAAACACAGTAAATTAATCCTGAATCTTGGTCTCTGTGGTCCTTATATCTGGTATAGCCACAATCGTTACAAAGGGAGAAATGCACGACTGAAAAAGAGAAACCCCCAATGTGAAGCATGATACACACCTGGGATGTGTCCGACAACACTGACTTCTTTGGCGATCTCTTCACTCTGAAAGTATTACTGAGAACAAACACATAAAATAAATAATGATCCAGATCCATAATTAGCATATTAGATCCAGTGTTCACTGTTCTGGTATCCAAAAACACGAACCAAGTTGGGAACACCTTTTTCTACTTAAATCCACGACGTAACACAGAGCAGCAGCACTAACACATGACAAAAGTTGAACGTAGAGTCGGTAGAGCATCAGACATTTTGTACACAATTTAAACATCTTATCCCTAAATACATCAACAAATACACAGATCCTGGAAAAAATACATCTTGTTGGAGCTGTTAGTGACTTTACTGCGGCAGAATAATTGTTACTGACCGTCATTTACTTTTTGAAACCAAGCACTCGTAAAATGAACATAAAATGAAGCCATTTCTATAGTTTCAGAGTTTTTAACAACTGCAAACAAAGAACACTAGAGGGAGCAAGAAGCTTTTTAATCATCTAACTGGAATTCTACTTTCTGGGTTGCTTTACAATTGAAAAGCGTTAAAACAAATTTATGACAATTTAATTATCAGAACAGCAAAATGAATATAAGTTCTAGTCCAGGGCTGTTCAACTAAACTGCTCAGGGCGCCACAGTTTCTGAAAGCCAGCAGCTCAGGGGCCGGACATCCAGCAATTAAAGTCATTATGTAAATAAACCAAGTTTTACAATGATCTGTTACCTTTTAAATTTGTTTAATTTATTGCATTGAATCCTAAATGCAATAAACAGAACCCAAACCCAGAACCGTCCCAGGCCGGGTTGAAGTCACATGCAGACCGGAAATGGCCCATGGGTCACCAGTTGAACAGCCCTGTTCTAGTCTAACTGATTAAATAAACAAAATCAAAGAAATAGGCAAAACAAAAAGCTTGATATATTGACGCTTGAACAACACCGCACCTCATACTGAATAATCCCCCCCCAAAATTGGTGTTTATTAATTTGCATAAACATGTAAAAAAAAAAAGTTGCCAAAGCAGCTTTTTTTTTCCTGAAAATTGTTTTGACTGCATTACAATAATCCTGAAATCACTTCATTGATTTACAATACATGCCAGATTAGATTTTCAGTTTTTTTTTTATTAATCTGCAAATTTGTAAACAGACCTGCTTCAGCTGTATTTGCCATGACAAGCACAGACCGAAGGATTGAGGTGTCCCATCTTGTGGAAATTCATTTTTAAATGACTTGATTTTTAAAACACATTTTATATAACACAATACATTGACAGTTAGTCAACCCTTACTCAGCATTATGTTATTAAATGGAAAATTATTTATTAATTTGTTATATTAGAGCTTTCATTACTGGTTCCCACAAACTCACAATTGACAGAGTTGAACCTGCTATGACTTTTGGTTTTGGTGCAACTTTAGCTTTTTGAAATATTTAGCCTTTTCTGTCTTTTTTTTTCTTAAAGAAAATGAATTGAGCTCATTACATCCTTCAAATCTTTAGATGTGTTTACAACCTTTTACTGCTCCTTTCACATTTTGTTCTGCTTCAGCATTTAAACTTTTTTCAGCTACTTTCAGCTGTTTTGTGCTACTTAAAAATTCTTTCAGCTAACTACATTTTTGTGCTTCTAACTTCTTTCTGCTCCTTTCAGCTTATTTACGCAAATTTCAACTATTTCTGCTATTTCAGCAACTATTTAGCTGTTTTTATGCTAATTAAAACTTTTTTTTGGCTAATTCCACATTTTTTGCACTCATTTCAACTTTTTTCAGCTTAATTCAGAAAAAATGTACTCTCTCCATTTCCTTCTGGTTATTTAATCTCCTTTATGTATTGTTAGCTACTTTTCAGCTGATTTTTTGTTGCTAATTTTAGCTGTTTTGCAGTAAATTTCCACTTATTTTGTGCTAATTTCTGCTTCTTTCAACATGCTTTTTCTGCTTTCTTCTGCTAATTTAAACTTGTTCTACATTTCAGCTACCTTTATAGCTTGTTTAGCTAATTTTGGCTGATTGTGCTAATTTCAGTTGGTTTCAGATAAATTCCAATTGTTTTGTGCTCATTTCTGCTACTTTCAGCCCAGTTAAAAATGTTCAGCTAATTTCAGCTTTTTATGCTCTTTCCAGTTTTTTTCTGCTTCTGCTTTTTCTGTTATTTCAGCTACTATTTAGCTGTTTTACATGCATTTTAATCTTTTTCAGCTAATTCCACGTTTTTTAGCTCATTTCAGCTTTTTTCTGGTACTTTAAGTTTCTTTCTGCCTTTTCAGCCTTTTTGTTGTTGTTGTTGCTAATTTAATTGTTTTTAGTTAATTTCCATATTTTTGTCCTTACTTCTGCTTATTTAAACCTAAATGCTTTCTTCTGCTAATTTAGGCGTGTTCTTCCATTTCAGCTACAAATCGGCATGTTTTTAACTAATCACAGCTGTTTTTCTGCAAATTCTTCAGCAATAAGCATTCACACTACATTTTCATAGAAAATGTAATTTCTCTAGTTTCTTGTGTTGTTCATCTGACGCTGTAGAATCTCATAAGGAGCTTGTGATCCTCTTATATTCTGGTACAGAACTATAAGAAACTGGGCTTATATTTTTTACAGTAATGAAGCATTATAACCCAGGGGGGGGGTTCTCCGTGATTTTCCCCCCTGATTGTTATATAACGCTTATAAAATATGTGCCAAAACTTCCATATAATATAAACTACAATGTTCTTTCAGAAGCACATATTTAAAGACAGAATTTAAAACAGAAAAAAACAGAAGCTCTAATTTAAAAAGGCTGAAGTCAAAGTTTAGAATGATTTGTCTGATTGTGAGTTTAAAGGATTATGATGTCTCTGTTAATAGAAAGAGAATCAAAGGGGACAAAAAGGGGCGAGGTCTGCATTGTCCCTGTACTTACAACATACAACAAAGAGAGGACCCACCCCTGGACTTCCTGGGATACATGAGAATACACAAACACAGGTGACAGAGAGACAAACAGAGGACACAGGCTGGCAAACCGTGGATGTTTCTATTAATGCATGACCCACTGGAACCAGCATGAACTTACGACTTTATGGGAGTTTTCTTCTTCGCCGGTTTGTTCTGGTTTTGGTCCCCCAGCTCCCCGATGTTGTCATTGTCATTTTCGTTGTCGTAGTCATTGGTTGACATTTCAAACGAGGCAGAGGCGTTCGGAGGGGAGCTGGCCATTTTGACGAAGGGTTTGAAAGGGTCTATGGAGTCGTCAAAGTTGTTGGGGTCAAAATTATACGGCGCCCTGGCTAATTTTGGAGAATTCGAAATATTTTTCTTTGAATTAAACGGATTGAAGTTTGGATCTTCCCACTTGTCGGGTTCAAAGTTATAAGACGCTTTGGGAACGGCGATTTCGCCCTCGTTGCTTGCGTAAGTCGCAGGAGGGTTGTTGTTGTCCAGCTGCTCGGCCGGTGCTGGGGCCGTCTTTTTCAGCCCCAGCTTCGTTTTCCTCAGCGGCATCTTGCCGCTCGGCTTTTTGACCACTTTTTTAGGTGGAGGAGAGGCCTGCTGGGACGCCTCGCAGCTTTCCTCGGAGTAGTCAAACTCGAGTCTTACTGACTGACGCTTGGGTAAAATTGGTTGCTCCTCTGGATTGTTGATCAGAGCTTCACGAGGAGGTGCAGGAGTAAAACAATGTGGCTCCACAGCAGGGACAGGGGGACTTCTCGGAGGGCTGGAGATAGGACCACGAACAGGACTTTTACGATCCAAAACAGGAGAATTGGCAATTTTACTCCCTCCAGTCTTGAAGGGGTTGATGTCTTCAAAATTGTCTGGATTCCATTTGTATGAGGCACAAGTAGAAATAGGAGAGTCTTCTTTATCTGTTAGAGTCGCTGGTTGAGGGGTTTCCTCGTGGCACAAAGGTAACGCAGGGACACCATTGCTCTCCTCTTGGCAAGTCTGATGGGTCTCCTCTGTTAGAGGCGGCGGCGTTTCAACACGGCTCCTCCTGGTTTTTTGGAGAGTCCCTCCAGGGCTCGGAGTGGCAGAGCTTTCCTCTGTAACCTCCTGAGCCTGGAGAGGGCTGGCAGTTTCAGGCGTTGCCCGTTTCTTGATTTCTGGGGTGCTGATGGACGAGGCTGGCTTCGGGCTCTCGGGGTTGGAGTTCTGTCGGAGGAGGGGCTTCTTCTTTACAGACCCAGAGCGGACTTTCTTTGGTCTATGAATGGTGCCCGGGGCGCTCTCGGTGCCCGCGCTGAAGGAGCCGGACACAGGTCGGAAGCCTCCAGACGCCGATTCGTCTAGCAGAGCAGAACTATCTAGTTCCCCCCCTTGAAGGCTGAGAGACCGCGTCAGAGCGTGACCTGTTGGCTCTGCGGCAAAAACCTCGATATTGTACGTTCCACTGGCAGCGATGGGCTTGTTCTCATCGAAAACAGTGGATGGAGAATGAGAGAGCGCATCGGCTGGAGTCAGAGCAGACGTAGCATCACTCACTGAACTGTTTGCACCTGCAAAAACAAGACGAGGTAAAAACAAAACAGAAATTTATTTTTAACAATGAAGTCAGTCTAATTCGACATGACCGTTTAAATGAGAAACATTTATTTGGGAAAAACGAAAAATGGATTATAGTTTACTTCACTTCAGTTGTATTTAATTAGATTGCTAGATTAAATTAGACAGTGTTGTCTTGTGCGTGTGTCTGTTAGTTTCATAAACCACTGGGTTGAGTTACAACTCATTCACTTTTGGAGTCAAGCCAATTAAAGATGGCAGACACAGCGAATGAACCTTAGCGAACACAAAATGGCTATAGTTGTCATTTCTACAAATTGTGAGCTAAAATTTACTGTTTACCTTTTGTCATTGAAGGTCTAGCATCCATTAAACTATGCATAATACCCACTGGCTTTCCTGCAAGACTTTTAGACTAAAATTACTTCATGCAGATGAGAAATAACAGTCGTGGTCATTTTGGTCAGTCCTTGAAAAAAAAAAAAGCATTCTCATGAAATATTGTGTTATCTTGTAGTATCTGTTAGTGCTTTGAATATGTGTTGTGAATAATTCTCAGCTACTAACCTACAAAATTCTAGCTCAACATCTGCACATTTTACTGAGGCACAGCCATATTTGTGTTAGCAAATGTTCAATAGCTATGGCAGCCATCTTGAATTGGGTTAGCTCCAAAATGTACTGAGTTGCAGACGTGCATCCAGTGATTACATTCCGAGAGTTTAACTGAAATGCATCCAGTCGTTTATGAGATATTTTGCTAACAGACAAACAGAGATGACTCTGACGGTTATACTAAAATGTTAAGATCTTGCAAAATGTGTTGCACCCAAAGTGCGCAGCTACAAGTGACTCTCATCTACAGGTACTAACCTCACCAAATTTTTATTTTATTATTTAATTAAAGTTTTTAAAATTGACAGACATAAAGACAGAAATGGGTAAAAGATAATGGATGGATGGATGGATGGATGGATGGATGGATGGACGGACGAACGGACGGACGGACGGTCATTTTTGTCATTTCTCATGTTCTCTTCTCCTCGAACATACAGTAGGTAAATTTAGCTGTGAATTGCATTTTTGTTCACTTTATTGCACTTTAATCGTATTACAATTAAGTGAAATATAAAAATGAAGTGAACTAAAATATAAATGAATTTACCCAAACTGAGCTGAACAGAAAAAAATAAACTGTAATACAATTAAGGCACCAGTTTTGTAAAGCTGTGGAACAAAAGCCAGATGTGAAATGCAGCTTTCATCCACAAGATGGTGGCAACAATGCATCCTCTAGAAATACAGCAGGTGCGCGTGAACATCTATCAGAGCTAAGAATACATTTCTTTCTGTACCTTTGTCATCAGGTTTGACTTCTTCTGTGTGGGGCTCAGTGGGAGAAGCAGCTTTCACTGGAGTTGTAGATTCTGGAGTTTCAAAAGCACCATCAGAGTCTGAGCTCCTACGAAAACACAAAGAGAGAAAGCGGCTGTGAGGCCGACTGAAAGGAACATTAAAGCCTCTGGAGACCAAATCAGGAAGGTGATGTTGGCGTGAGCATCATGTCACAAAGGAAATGTTTCTGCGTCAGTCCTCGGGGCATTACACGGTGCAGATAAGTTATCGCCGAGCCACGAAGGCTTGATTTTTGTTGCAATAGCTTGAGGTGAATGTGCTTCCATTTCTTATTTCCAGTGGACTTTACTGCCACAAATTAAAATGATGAATCTGCAGTTTGGTGACAGTAACGGCCCATTTGAGACACATTACCTCATCACAACACACACGTTTACACACACAGAACCACCTCTGGGTCTAAAGATAATAAGATATGAAATGAGGGCTGATAGCTTGAACAGCGAGCTCCACGCTCTCCTGTTCAGCGTATCATTAGATGGTTGCCTCACCTAAGTCTGACTGGTTCCCCAGCAGCCCTGATCAGGTTGTCATGATGAGAACCCCAGGAGAGGCGCTGCAGGAGCCCCAGAGCTGGATCAGAGCCTGGGCTGGCCCCGTCTCCAGCCCCTCCCAGCAACGAGTCCCAGCCCCAGCGAGCCCACTGCAGTGGGGACAGAGCCTGCCACGTACTCACTGCCATGGCTGCCGGTGGGCCGAACCCCTCCACGCACAAATGCTGACAACCAGGTAGGTACAGCAGCCTCTTACAAAGATGATGCTGAAATCTGCAGAGTCAGTGTTTTTATTTCCTCCCAGCATCCAGATCTCTTTGTTTCCAGTTTAATTTCCCTTCTCTTTGTTTTCATTAGCCATCAACCGGTCGTCTCTCCACCTCAGTAAGAAACGTCTCCCAGTCTAAATTAGACTGTCTGCAGAAGCCCATCTCCTGCAAAGCTCTATTTTCTGCCTCCCTCTCTCTACTTCCCCCCTCCCACTCTTGTGTTTTTTAACCATTTTGCTGTTTCCACCCAGAAAAGGTCCAGTGCCCACCAGACCCAACGCATTCTGTTACAACACTGATCCTGAGTGTTCCCCACAGACGCCATCAACAGATGATATCAGCCTGAATTATGATAAAATTCAACAGCAGCAGCAAAAACACACTATAGCGTTGCTGTTAATCTGCTGATAATCCGTCTTTAAAGATTATTTATCAAACATAAAAGTGTGAATGAAATAAAATAATAATAATTGAGAACCACCGTGTGGTCATTTGTACAGGAAAAACAAAAATCTATATATGTCGTAGTCAAATGTTTATTTAATCTGGGGTCACAAGAAAGAAAAAAGAGTTTGCAAGACATTAAGTAAATTATTAATTTTAGCTGCTTATTTAATTTTTTTCTTCTTTAACACAAGTGCTTAAATGTCAAATAAGACCAGGCATATAGGCCTGTCACGATAACAAATTTTGCCTGGCGATTAATCGTCTCAGAAATTATTGCGATAAACGATAACATTGTTTGGAGACCGTTTTAAACTAATGTAATGATAATGACATAATAATGCAAGTACATCCTCTAAGATCAGTAAACATTATTTTCAAAAGAACACATAACACTGGAACTGGGAAATAAATAAAACAAAAACAAAAATAAAATGGACTATCAGTCTCTGTTAACAAAAAAATGCACCTAAATAAAAACTAAATACAAAAAAAAAAGGAAATAAAAACTGCATTCAACCAAAACACTATGGATTATGAAGTCTGTAAACTAAATTGCCCTTCAAAAAAACAATAATCATTAGTTTTATATAGAGAAGACAAGCAAAACTGCCAGTTTCATAAGCAAAAAGTGTGATAAATAAGAAGATAATAAGATAGCGGTCACTCTTTCAAGGATGAAGATGTTCACATCCTGGACAGAGAGGAACGATGGTTTGAGAGAGGAGTAAAGGAGGCCATCTTTGTGAAAAGAAATCGTCCATCATTAAACAGGGGTGGAGGCCTCCGGGTTCAACTGTCCCCCTCTTACAATGCTGTGATTGCTGGTATCACTCAGCCCTCTGTGAACAGTAAACAGCCATCAGTGTGCTAATGATCCATTGTTAGGCTGATGGTCCTTCTTGAGCATGTGATCAGCTGGTTTTGGTTGTCAGCAGCAAAACTGGTTGATCCACTCTGTGAAGGTGCTATTTAAGAGACCGAGCTGAAAACAGCACCTCAGACTGAGGAAGTCTCTTGGATGAGAGACGAAACGTTTCTAGATTTTTTTGCTTTGTTTTGTTTTTTGTTTTTTTGAATGTCCAGAGGACCAGATTGAACTTTTTTGGATAAATAAGAAGAAACATTTTATTTTACTTCATTTTAATTTATCATGCGATTAATTGGTTTATTGTTTATCGTGACTGGGCTAACCACGCATGACCAGCAAAGGGTCATCTCTGAGGGTCCGATGAGTCCCATCAGGGTAGAACTGCCCATGAGGATCAATCATTAGAAAACCCAATTATCTGGTCACCTATTACAGCTGTCAGATTAACAAAATTAAGATGCACTTTCACAGAATAATAGGCATAAACCCAACAAGTAAAAGCTAAATAAATAAATAAAACACAAAGAACATTGTTCATCAGACTGCGAGCACTGTGTTTCTATGGCTACTGATGGACTGGGAGGAGGGGGGGGGGTCGTTCTCTACACGTGTCCCACTACGATGGCCCAAAAATCCAATACCAACTTAATTAACCGAGCCTGTGCAACACAGTCCAGGCAACTGTTTGTTTTATAAATAAAAAGGCAAATAAAGTTATGATGCCTATTTTTTTTATAACACTCACTCAAAGATGATGCAACAGCATCAACAATAAAATATAATTTCAAATCCTTTTGTTTATGCTCCAGTAATGGAGAATAGTTCTGATCATCTGAACCTGAGATTCAAACTCAGAGCAGACGCTGTCATTAAACGACAGTCGTTCTGAATAAACTACAAAATGATCTTTTATGGGGATGCCTTCAGTGAAAATGTGATTTCCACAGAAGGCATATGGTTGAACAGTCGGGGTACGGAGGCTAGAAGAAACAAAGAGAGCAGCATCCCCAGCTGGTTCTGATAGGCTGAGACGGCTGCCTGGAGACAGCGCGAGGCGGAGAGAGGCAGTGTCGGCGCACCAGACGAGTCTCTGCCTTCAGCCAAATTTAACTCGGCCCGTCTGAACAGCTTCAGCACTCCAGGAAGAGTCTTCAAAACCACTGGGTCTAAAGCAAAAAAACCATCAATATGCAACCTCAAGCACCAATAGAAAAAATAAGGAGATCAAAAAGGACCAAGATGCTCTCTGCTAGTTTATCAGCAGCTGTTTGATTCATCTCAGTGGATCAGATGACCCACAGTCCCTCCATCATCCCTGCACAGTCATAGGTCTTTAAACCCTCGCTGTCTGGACACAGATGGTCATTAATCTGTCTCAATTCCACTTCTCTTTTACATTTAATCTCCAGTTTCCCCTCACCTGTTTTAGAGCTTTCAGCATCACATTCACCGGTTACTGTTAGGATTTAAGGGGCAAAATAAACAGAAAGAAAGCTTTTGTTCAGATAAACAGGAAAATCCATATAGGTCCAGGCAATTATTAATAAACAGTATCTTAGTTAGAATTTAAAAAAATATTTCAGATGTATCTGGATGTGACTAACAAAAATGTTGTAGCATGTTACATTGATCTGTAGTAAAATTTAAACTTGTGCTCTAGCCATTGCAGAACGTAAAAAGGACTCTAGAGGGCGCTCATGTGCTTCGATTACAATGAATGTCTGGTAAATATAGAATATTACATCATAACAGTAAACTACAACAATCCTGCTTTAATCTAACAAACTTTCTGCACTGATGGTCTACAGGCGGCAGCTCACCTTAAGTTTACCTTGTAAACAAATTATATAAATGTTAAAAACCTGGGAACAAAAGCCCAAAGACAACCCCTCTGAACCGTGTATGGATCATAAAAACAGAACCTGACTGAGCTGACGTGTTTCGATCACCAAGAGCTGACCTCTGGAGTCTGGGATCTTTCTTTTGTTTATTTAGTCTCAAAACAAAGAAGACAATATGACCAGAGTGTCAGACAAAGATAATCTCCAAGTCAGTCTAATCTGAGACACTGACTGCAAGCAGATGGCACATAAAGACGCATCAAGTCAGGGTGAAACCTGCAAGATGGATCAGCAGAGTGGGGGCTGCGAGATTTGATTCCTAATGGAAATACAAAAGCAGCTTGGATGATCAAACGAGATTTAACAGAAATTCTTTTGCACAGTTTTGATTGATTCAACAGTTTGTGAATAAAAAGACATAAGGGTCTGAATACCGTATAAAGTGTGCATGTGCGGTTTTTATTGTCAGTGACACAGAAACCAACAAAACGCTTACAAGGCTAAACTTTTTATAGCAGTTTAACCTGTTTGAGCCATCTGTAGAGCTTTAAAGGTGCTCATTACAAAGTATGAAATCTCACATGAAAAAGGCTGTCTTGGTGCAGACTGAAGACGTTTGAGGATCGAACGTGGGTCTGCACTCACTGTAAACAAAGCACGGCTGAAACAATGAAAACTACATGGAAGCTCGAGTCACATGACAGGGCAACATTAGTCATGGCCTTATCTGTGTAGGTAAACAAATATGGCAGTCAGACAAGCGTACGATCTCGAAGAAGACATTTGGGTGGAAATAAAAGAGCGAATCTGCTGCTAAATGTGAAAGAAAAGAAAAAGAAGAAAACTGTCAACACATTAACCATTAATAAGAGGATTTTTTGTTAGTTTTATTTGTGACTTTGCATCAACTACATTTAAAATAAAACTGCTACGCCATAAAACATTTTAATTCTGAACAAGCATCCAGTCCACCCCCCACCCCTCTTGAGATGAGCTGCACTCTTTGCTCCATCTCTCCCATCCACTGATGAGTTGCCCTCCACCCCCACACAGCGTGTTCTATTTCGGCACAGTCACCAGCCGGTCGCGTCCTCCTTCTTACAGAACAAAACATCACCCTCCCTGCG